CATTTTAGGCCAAGACATACTGAAGAAGTCGTCATTAGTAAGCGAACAAGATGGCAAAAAGTTATAATTAAATAATAAATATATCTCTCAACAAAATTTAATTAATCATGACATATATCTCATAAAAAAAAGATATAATTAGATAATAAATACATCGAAATGAGTTTCACATATAACATTATTAATTATAATCGAATAATATAATTAAAAAAATCCAAATCAGAGACATAAGAGGAATTATCTTAAAGATAATCTTATATAATTGCAAATAAACAAATGATTGACCAGTACACGTGAATTATTGTACAAGCTCAAAGTAACGGGTTAAGACATATAATCTACATATTATATAAATTTCCATTCAACTTACATAAGGAAGCATATCACCCATGTCTTGATTAGTCTCCGTACCCGCTCTTAGGTTACCACACCAAACAAGATCATCGCTACTGATCACAAGATGATGTGAAAACATATCATCAATATCATTATTATTATTATTATTATTATTATTATAATTATCATCATCATTATTATTATTATTATTATTATAATATTGATGATCCAACAATATCTGTTGTTGCTGATCTAGTGCGTCATGAACTAGTTCTTGCTGGTGCAGCTGATGATGATGATGATGATGATGAGAATATGTTTGAGGTTGATATTGATGATGATCATGATCCTGGTTCTTGCCATGAGTAGTCTCATGAATTGTAGTGCGGTCAAAGCATAAAGTGAGGGGACCCTTATGAGCAGCAAAGGAGATAGATTTGGATGGGCAACCGGTGAATTGTTGAACCAGAGCTCGAAAGTTGGCAGCGTTGGCGTTGAGAAGAGTAGTGGGTGTCCTTCGCGAGGTTCGTGATCGTCTTGGTCGAGATGGTTTTGACACACAGCCTTTAGGGTTCAATACGACGTCGTTTGAACGGCTCGGTTTGTTCCCCATCAACCCAAATGCAGCAGCCTGGTCTGCTCCATCTACGCTTTGATGATCTTGTTGGTACTGGTACAACGTATGAATCCACTGATCGTCACAGAAAACCCCCACTGTGTTAATGTTTTCACTCATGGTTTTAATTTCCTCTCTCTCTTTTCCACTCTCTCTTCTGTCTATGCTTTATGTATGCATATTGTGTGTGTGTATGTATGTGTTTATATTGTATCTTGGACAAGAAGCAAAGAAGGTAGCTAGCAAGAAAGTTTATATATAAAGATGGAGTGAAGGGATTTGCAGGTACTGGTCAAAGTAGACAAGTCTATATTATTGACCATTACTTAAATTAAGGGGCAGAGAGAGAGAGTTTTGAGGGGTAGAATGGACACGTTGTGTTTAGGGATGCTTCCTGGAAACTACAGGGTTTGTTTATGCGATTAACAAGATCATGATATGACCTCATTTTGTTTTGGTCATTTCTCAGTCTCCAACTAAGCTGCTCTCTTTCCATTTTTCTTTCTCTCTCTTTCACATAACTTATGTGTTAATCATAGTGGTTAACGAACACATATTTCGTCATCCACTTCTTTCATTTTATGAATAAAAGAACTAAAAAAAGACTCTCCAAGTGTTCATCAATTTAAAATCGGAGGAAATAGAATTAGACGGTGGAGCAAATAAAGGTGGAATCCAAATCAAATATTAAACTGTTTTAATTTCAGTTTGGACAATTATTGTTCGATCTGATTTAGTCTGAACTGAAATGGAATTTCTAATAATTGAAAACTTAATAGATTTTTCAGTTTCTTAAGTTGTAACTTGTTTATAATGTAGTTCAATATGATTTGGTTCAAATCGAATTGGACTACATTTTTTGTTGTTGGTCATATTATTCTTGAACTGAGGAGCAACTAAATAATGCTTCGTCCAGTCCAATTGTTTAGATTTGCAGTAGGAAATGCACACCTCTACCCGTGGTGCTTTATATTAACACTGTCCCTGGATAAATATTAATAAATGAACAGAAAGAAAGTGTTCTTTATATTAGCATCCATTCCTTCCTTTTCTGTCTACAACCCAAACATAATGTAAGAACATAAGTGCTTTAACTTCCCAGGTGTCTAATTAACTTATTTTTTCATGTTCAAATATTTAACTACAACCTCCATTTTTTTCAAACTTTCCATTTTTTACATATCATATTCTTCATGGCAAACTTGAAGGGAGAATCTATTTTGACCATCTCAAAGTTCAGTGTATTCCAAAACCCTTTTAATGAGTTCCTATAACAATTGTGAATCTCAAAGAATGAGTTTTATCATCAAGTTTAAACTTGTAACTTTGTATTTAATATCTAGAGATTGAACAATAACTAGACTAGTGTTTTTAAGGAAGCATTTAGGATGAGCGAAAAGTTATATGCATTATTTTGTCAACCAGGTCTTACATAACTAGGGGCATTAACTCATTTAGCTATCTTAGTGTTGCTATATTAATGGATTTTATGTCCTATTTTAATAAATTAAAGATGCTTAATGCTAAGGTTTTTAAGAACCCTTTTTTTCTAATTCATTTAAAATTATAAGAATTTTTATTAATTTTTTTACTCATTCTAGGGCTGTGAATGTAGTTGGTCTTCTAGTTTCAGTGAAGCACCTAAAAAATGTAATTTTGTTTGTTAATTTTTTTAACCTTTTGGAATTTTATGTTGGAAGATTAGATAACCCTAATATAATTTTTTGCTTCATTAATAGCAATAGATACAAAGGTTCATATCAGCTTATTGAAGCAGACCTCTAGTGTGGTAGAAATATTCACATCCTATGGTGCACCGTGGACTAGGGT